CTACTATTGCGGCACTGGAGGACCACCATGAATCCGTCGATCAAGGTCGACTTCGGCGGTCAACCGAGATCGAGGGGGAGCAAGAGGAAAGGCGCACCAGAGCAATGGAGGAAGGAGAGGCGCGAAACGGGGGGGGTGTAACACCCCGGTGTTATGCCAGCATTTAGGCACTGCAAATCATGCATATCGTGAATCATCAAGCATCCTAATCATACATGCCCAATCATGAAAATAATAACTGAAACACTGCTTCGAAACATATGAAACATGTTCGTGAAACGTCAATGTTGCATACACCTGTTTAAGAGTTATTTTATCCTGATTATGTTTGCTAGGCTAGTAAAACATGTTTGGCTATCATGGTAAATCATCTAAAACTGTTTAGCACAATTTTTGGAGCAAGATTTGTATTTGAATTATTGCCAAATTTTGCTTTTAAAAATAATTCTCCAAAATTAGGGTTTTGAGTTAAGATTTACTTTAATTTTAGAATTCAAAATCTATTAAGAATTTGGCTTTGGTCATAAAAGCAAAGCTGTAGAGAATTACATTCTAATCAATTTTTATTTTTGGTACATTTTCAAAAGATATCATTTTCTTGCTCAAAATGATATTTGAAAGCTGGCATTTAAAAATTTCTTGAAAATATAAATTGAAAAAAGCTTCCTTCATTTCATGGTCACGCCGCCTGCGTTTCCGCCCCACCAAAGCCCGGCTGACTGCAAAGACAACGAGCCTCCAGCACACATATGCCGCGCCATCGCCATGGCCCACCATTGCCTTGGCCTTTGGCTGCCTCCTCGCGCTCGTCTTGCCATGACTTGCTGGCCACACACAAGGTCCGACCATGGCAGAGCAAGTCGCCGTGGCGGCTATATCTGCCGTCGCCAGCCATTGCCAGCAGCGGTGCCCTACGCCCGCTCCCACACGCCCGCCTACGCCTGCTGGAGCATTGCGCTTCCGCTTCATTCATTCTCCGCATTTGCCTTTCTTCTCCCACGACAGAGCTCGCTCACTCTCCCCCCTCGCATGGCGCCACCACCTTGGCAGTCAAATTCGCCGCCTCTCCACCTCGGTGAAATTTGGGCCAAAGAGGCCATGGGCGGAGCCGTCCGGGCCGCTTCCCTTCCCTTTGCAAGGGCAAGAATAAAAGTGTGGCGATGGGCGGCTTATTCCATGGCCGCCCAAGAGTAATAGGATGATTCGTTTTCAATTTTTCTTTATTATTTGAAAATAGAAATGGTTTGGAAAATGTTTGGATACTCAAATTTACTCCAAATCTGTTGAAATAAATTTTTCTAGGTTCCTTATCACCAGATCTACTTGGAAAAATTATTGCATGTCATTTTTCGGATACTTTTCTGTAGAACTTTATTTAATCATGGATATTGCTGATAACTTGAAAAATATGTAGAAAAACCTATAGGCTTCAGAAAAATATGATTCCAAGTTTGTTAATTTTCATATGTAATGTACTTTCTAGGAAAAATATGTGTCATGCATGTGATGTAGGAAATTTTTGAGGTGTAGTTCAAGTACCTTTAATGGCTGATTTTTGTTATTTTTGCTAGAGAGCAAACTTTGTATAAAACATGCATGTGATAATTTTTGTACAGTGATTGTATGCTATGAAGATCATAGGAAAAATACTAACTCTATTGTTTGACACTTTTCACAGTACAAAGTATTTTCATGTTCATAATCATGCCATAGTTTGTTATTTTTGTGTAGGCTAATCCACTCATTCAAATACCATGAAAATCTGTTAGTAGACTACTTAGGGTAGTACTGTGCTGTAGTAATTTTCTAAGATTTTTCTAAACAATAAAAATAGATGTTGCTATTCAAACCTATTATTAATTAGGGTTTAAGCAAGTATTGCTTTAAGTGTGGTTAAGAAATTAGTGAAGCTTTGGTGTATCTTTGAAGCATTCAATAAGATGTGTTGACTTAACATATTAGTAGTAGAAGAGAATGCAGTAGATGACATGTGCTCGTAGTATATGTTCTTGGATGATGTTGACTACCTTGCATTTAAACATATCTGTTGTATTCATCTCATTCGATGCACCGATTGCATAAGCACTTACACACATTGCATCATACAGGATCGCAAACCGAGAACCCAGTCATCATACCCGAGGAGCCCGAGGAGCAGCTCGAGGTGCAGCCGCGGGAAGTGCCCGAAGCCGACAAGGAGGACGTTGAGGAACTTCCGGAGTGCCCCGATCACCGTCCGAGCTCCTTCGAGAGAGGCAAGCCCCGGAGCATTTTCTCCCGGTTTGCAATTATTAATTAAATGCTTTACTTTAATTGATGCATTACGTTCAGGAGTTGTTTGCAACCGTTGCTGCATTATACCTTGTTTACCTTTGTTATACTATATCCTTGTTACCCTGGTATCCGCAGTCGAGTCAATGCTTAGCTGGCTTAGACCGGTAGAAGTCGGGTGATTTCCTGTCACCTGCGAGATATAGGTGGTTACCTAGATCTGCTTGGATGACTATGAAGTCATGGTATAACTAAGTGTTAAATGAAGTTGAGACCGGACGGAGACTTGCAGAGTTTTGGACTGTAGTGCTTTCCGTCTGTGTCGATTAAGTACCGACCGTTGTTGGGCCTCTGAGTCATGTTGAACGCATGCCTTACATTTAGCTGGCCGGATAAAGTACCTTCCGACCATGAAGCTGGGAGATTATTCGGGCCGAGTAGATTGCCCGCAGCGCACTGTGCCGGAGCAGGTGTGGTAGGACATGGGGGCGAGATGATAAGACCAAAGTGCAGTCGGTCGGCCCTCGGGTACATGTGGTTCCTGGCAAACTCGAGATACCTGGATAGTTGACTCGGTGATCAATATCTCACTTTAGCGGGTGAGTAAGGTTTGTGTAAGGAATAAATCACCAGCTGGTTAGGAATCGATTCGAATCGCCATCGCTCCTGGATAGTGAGCACCTGACTTGAGTTACTTTATCGTAGTAATGTTGATGGAACACTTGGACAGTTATAATGAATATGACAGTATGGAAGTTGTTAATGATCATTGGTTATCATTATTGGCTTAATCACATGTTTGCTCTAGTATAGGTGCAAATCTAGTCGACAGGTTAATAACAATTAACTTGACAATAATGCTTTTGAAAAGGGTTTTGAAATGCTAAAAATGCTTTCTTTGCAAATGAGTCAGCTACCCTACTATAAAGCCTTCATAATCCTTGGTGTCACTTATTTTCGGTTATGTCGGGTAAGTCTAGCTGAGTACCTTCTCGTACTCAGGGTTTTATTTCCCACTTGTTGCAGATGGACAGATGTATTACGGCTACTGTATCAACTGCCTTTATCCTACGATGGGTGATGTTTAGGACCATGGGCATGGTCATTCCTTACGTCTCGTCTAATGCTTTTGTTGGAGATGATCAATCGCTGGCACTATATTTGAACTTCGTGTGAGTGTGTGTGGTTTGAACAAATGGCTTCCGCTACTTTTATTCGAACTTGTTTTGTAATAACTATGTTTAAACTCTGATGTATCTGAGATGCAAACTTTTATGTAATATGTGATGGTGACCGCTAAACTTATTACGATCTTGGCTGGAATGGAAGTTGGTTTGAAATCCTTCGTGATTTCACGGACTACCAGGTTATACTGGCTTAAGTTTGCTAAATCGTCTGCTCTGACGGATGATTTTCTTACTTAATTTCGTATAATTGGTCGGTTCTGTTACAGGGGGTAACCCTAGCCGACACCCGCGCTCGTCAGGATGGGGGCATCTCCCGCGCTTGCCCGAAGCATTCGCGTCAAGCATCGAGTCGTCCTGCGTCGAGAGGGAAGTGGAAATCGAGAAGACGGGGGCGTACGGGATGGAGGGGTAGAGGTACGAGACCGAGCAGACGAAAGATGCGATGAGGGAAACCAAACACAACGCTCGAATGAGGCCACCCAGATAAACCGGGCGAGGACGGCCCGCTCTAGGCTACCGATCTACCGATCAGCCCCTAGATACACCATCCAGCGTTTAAAAGACTGTACAAGCTTGGTACGAATGTTTGCTCGACCTGTGGCTGTGTGCCCAGCGACAACGCCTCTCTCTCTCAAAAAAAAAAAAGTACACAGACAGCGCTGCGCAGCACAATACTACAGGATTATTTACTGCTGGCTGGTTTGGTGTAAGAGAAAAATACTGTTCCCGACTGAAATTTACGATCGTTTACGAGCAAACGAACAGGCTGATCGAGTGCACTGCGCACTGGACACTGGTCCAAGTGCAAGGGGGCGATAGTGTGGCTACGACGACGATCCTGCGACAAGAACCAAAAGGCCCGGATGAAGTGAACCAACCGGTAGATGCTTTAGTGCTCAGCACTGCACATGCCACTCCACTTGTGCGTGCAGCTGTCAACAACAGGGGCGCCAGGCGTCAGCCTCCTTTTCGTAGCGTGGGCACTGCTCCAGTGATGATCACAGAATTCAGAACAGAAGCGTTCAGATGAACCTGTGCCGCCCAATGGCAATTTTCAAATTCGAGCAAGAGATTTCTCCGTGGCTGAATTGCATTGCGTGGCGCACTGGCGCACAATGCATACCTTTCCAAGCTACTGTACTACGAGCTATGGTTATGGTTGGGACTGCACCATTCTATAAACTGGTTTCGGTAGCTACAACAATTAAGGATGAAAACGGATGGAATCGAACGGAGAACTCCTCAACCGTTTTCTACTTTTACATTTGAATACGAAAACGAAAACGAAAGCGGACAAACCGAACACGAACTTACGGAATATCGAGAATTTCGAAAACGAAACAATTCGAGCGGAATTATATCGAACACGGTCGGTATACGAGAATTCAATACGAACCGACCCACAGTGCATAACATTAAACAAGTTCATGGCCAAATACATAACAAGTTCGCGACTAACAAGTGCATGATCTAGTTCAAATTAACAAGTGCGTGACCCATGGTCTTAAGTAGTACGACACACAATTAACAGAACATGAACATCTAGAGCTCATCAGCATCATCCATGATGTCAGGATCAGAGTTCCCATCGCTCTCCATGTCTTTTGCATCCTCATTGTCCTCCTCAGAGTCCCCATCGCCCTCCTTGTCCTTGTCCTAGAAATTTGCAAAGTGAATATATACAGAGAAGCATTAGGGAGTTCCATAGAATCAGCCGAGTTGCATATGGCAGCTAGCTAGTGCATCCGATCCATCTCTCCTTGCCAGAACATGCATATGCTGATAATTAAGGCTTACTGATAATGCAATGCACTCTCTTTGGGTATTAGTGTGATCAGTGTATGAGAATAAGAAATGTTTTTATTTGTGCTACAATCAACCCGATCCTCCCTCCAGTAGGCCACCAGTACTAGACCAAGTACATGCATGCCACGACACCATATATAGATGGAGTTGAAAGTGTGTGCAGTGTGCTACTCCACTCAACAAGATAGCTTTAACAGCAGCCAACATCAAATATAGACAGAGGAGAGGATAAACATACCTCAATTTTCAGTTTAGCCACAACATTAGTCAAAGCATCAACTTCAAGATCACTCACAATTGATCCAACCACTTTCGCATCTGAACAAAATATTAGTAAGGGGAAAATATCAATGCATTATTATGCTGCAATTACAAGTGTATAACTAAAAAAAGAGATAAAATGACCACCTTTACTTGCTGCAGCAACCCAGTCCTTTGTGCAAATTAATGCCTGTACCATCTCGGGATCAAGACGACTGCGATAGGGATCAACAACACGACCAGCAGCACTAAATGCAGACTCGGATGCTACCGTTGATACTTGTACAGCCATTACATCCCGAACAATCTGTGAAAGGATAGGATACTCTTCTCTCTTGTTTTTCCACCAAGCTAAGATGTCAAACTCACCAACAATTTTCAGTAGTGATTCCCCCATATACCTCTCCAACTCATTTGTCTCAACCATAGCATGTTCACTTTCATCATATAGGAATTCTTCTAGGTCATGGTCTACATTTCCCATTAATACATCAGCTGTGTTACTAGGTCCAGGTGCAGCCACACTACTAGTTTTCTTTGCTGGTGCAGGAGCAGAACTAGCATAAAAGTTGTATAGTTTCTTTACCACACAAATAAACTCATCGAGTGCAAGTTGATAGTGATCACCATGGAACTTCTTCATGTAGTACTCTATTAGCCTTTTCTTATACCTTGGATCAAGAAAACAAGCTACAGCTAGAGCAATGTTGGATTGTTCCCAATATTTTTTAAATTTTGCATTCATAGCAACAGCCATTTCTCTAATTGTATCATCTTCATTAAAGCACCAATCATCTAGCAAGATCTTTATATCACAGAAACCTCTATAAAATAAGTTTGCAGTAGGATATGAAGTGCCAGAGAGAATTTCAGTGAGATCATAAAATTTCTTGAGACAACCATAAATTGTCAAAGCCTTTTCCCATTCAACAGAAGATGGAGAAATCTTAGCATACCTACGGCGATTTGAAGACTTCAGCCTAATAAATGCATCCTTGTAGTACAAGGCATCTCTCAGCATTAGATAGGTAGAATTCCACCTTGTTGACACATCAATTTGAATACCCTCTTTGTATCCAACCCCTTGACAGTGACACACTTCATAAGCTCTTCCCCCTTTGCAATGGAGACCCTTTCACAGCTAGCACAAGTGATTTGACCTTGCTAATTGTTTCGAAATGACTTTCAACCCATCTCTAGCAACCAAATTGAGAATATGACATGCACATCTGACATGAAAAAACAGCCCATCACACACTAGGGAGCCATTACCATTCTCTTTTAGATCTGAAATTATATCATTGACAGCCACTTCATTTGAACTAGCATTATCCAAAGTCAATGCAAACAGTCTTTTCTCAATGTACCATTTAACCATAACTTCACTGAATGTCTCAGATAACTTAGCACCAGTATGTCTACCTTTTACATTGAAGAAACCAATAATTCTCTTTTGGATACGCCAATTATCATCTATCCAATGAATTGTAACACACATGTATCCTTTGTTTTGGCATGAGGTCCACATGTCCATTGTTGCACTAAAGCGGCACTTGATAGTTTTTAAGTGTGCATACAAAGTTTCCTTTTCTTCAAGATATCTGTCTATTATTTCTTTCCTAACAGTGACACGAGACTTTATCGGAAAGCTAGGCCGAAGAGATTTTATGAAATCAACAAGATACTCATGCTCAACTATATTGAAAGGATATTCATGCATGGTGATTGCCAAGTTCAATTTCCTCAAGCTAACTTCTTGGTCATATTTGAAAGGCACGATATGAGCAATTTCAGAACCAGTGTTCTTACCAACATTAAGCTGTTGTTGTCCCTCCACAATGCTGTGCTTTGACCTCAAATGGCTCTTGAATGCAGTCGTCCCACAAGGGCCCTCAGCTCTGTACCTCTTATTGCACTAAGCTTAAATTGCAGTACCCCAATTTGCTCATCTTGCTTTCCATCCACCTCTATAACCTCCTTTTTTTTTGGTGAAATACTTCCGGACATGTGATGTGCATTTTTGTACCTCTTGCCGGAAAAGATGAGCTTCGCTCTTCATCATCTTGATCATCTTCGCCGATATTAACTGGAGCTGCAGGTGTATCATTGGTTGGTGCACCACTGAGTTAGGTTGGCCGATTGCCGGTGCCGGCCTATGGTAACTGGTGTCAATGTCAACAATAGGAGCACTGGAACCGATCACTGAAACTGACGCTGCTACGGATGCTTGTGTGGCTAGACTATCACAAGTTCCAGAGCTAATACTCTAAGATGCAGACCTTTTATTCCTAGATCCTGATGATCAAGCAAAATGACCAAAATAAGTTAGAGTACTGATAAAAATATATTAGATTTTTCTCAATAAAAACTATATCAGATTTTGATAAAAACTATAGTTTTTTCCAATAAAAATATCAGATTTTGCAGGACAAAATATTAATTACAAAGGCAAATCAATGCTGCACCAAAATAGAAGACTAGGTTTTATCTAGCCTCATAGCCCGTGCTTATCTAATCTTTGTGTCAGGTTTTGGTTTTGTGTCCAGAAAAAAAAGATGTTCACAATCGCATAGTTGGTGACAATATCTACTGGAGTATGACATATCGCATACAGTTCAGTGAGATTGATTTAGATGTATCGCCTGCCTCTAGTTTTAACATGTACTGCTGGTTGTCATGGCTAGTTAACTAGAAAATTTAACATAGTAAAATCTTTGTTGAAAGGGGTCCCTGTGCATCTTATAGAAGTGTGGCTCTGAAATGGACAGCAAATTTGTCTGTGTTTTTTTTTCTTATCTCCTGATACGCACCAGATTCCTAAAAACTAGCAATTGCCTGGTACCAATGTACTGTTGCGGTTTCCAAGTGAACATTATCTGAACATAAAATTCATTACCCGTAGACTGTCCAGTTTATTAGTCACTCTTGAGCAATTGATCAAACACTGTCACTGAGTCAAAGCTTTGTTGATGGTTACTAAGATATATCCGATATACAACCGCCTAACCAAATAAAAAGAAAGCATTTCATACACAAGTGTCACCAGGCTTTATTACTCAGTGCAGAACTGAATAATACTAAGTTGATGTTCCAATCCTGAATTTCTGGAGGGGATTAGTGTATGTCCCTAGACAACAGACTCATATGTACCGCTCCAGCATTGACAAACAACACACATATCAAGACTACAAATCTTCAGAAAAGAAAACATATTGAACGATGCATCAGATATATCATACATGTTCAGAGTTGAGACTGAAACTTTCTACTCAGTGTGATATCACACGTCCACAACTAAAACTTCATCAATCTAGAAACATATATGTCTTACACGTGCTAGCTAGTAGTGCATGTCTGCAAAGCTTCTAGCTTTGGTTCGTATGAGAGCATACGACAATGTAAAATAGCTAGCGAGGAGCGTGCCAAGCGGAACATCAAGACCCCGATCGATCGATCGCACTGGAGCTGGAGGTGGTATTTGGAGAAGTCGTGAGCTGCCGGTGCGTCTTGCGGTGCCCGTCTTTGTCGTGGCGCAAGAAGTTGGCGCCGACGGTCTTGGTCTTGGCCTTGGCCTTGCCCGCCGTGGGAAGCAGAACGCCATCTTCGGTGGGCGCCATCGATGGGCACTGCGGTCGGCGGCGTTATCGGCGATGGTAAGGTGCGAGAGACAGGGCGCGGCGGTGGTGCTCCGGCGTACCTCGAGAACTTGGCGGCACGGCGGACCACTGGGCGCTTCGTCGCAAGCGCGGAGGTTCAAGGCGCGCCTCCTCGCCGACCTTCGGCACGCGCGTGGGGATGACGGACGGCGCCGCCAGTGCTAGCCAAAGCAACAGGGAGGGGGCGGACTGAGGAGCCGTCGGGCAGTCACGCTGGGGACTGGGGATGGGTAGACAGGGTAGTGGACTAGTGGGAGTTTGGGGATTAGGGTTAGCTTCGTTATTGGGCTGGGCTAGTACATGGGCTAGTGCCCTCTGCCCTGTTGGACCAAATTCGGTTCTAAACTGAATTTAAATTCGGTATATTTCGAATATAATGTAGAAATGTAGAAATCGAACGAACAAATGCCCAAACCGATTTCGTACCGAATTTCAAATTATGTACTCCGTATTTTGTTTTCGAATTTAGTATCCGTTTTTGTCCGCAAAAAATGAATTCGATCGGGTTAAATATAGAAAACGACTGCGGTTCGATTCGGGATATTTCCGTATCGTTTTCATCCTTAACAACAATGGCGCCCTTCCTCTTCTCTTCAGCAGTATCGTATCAATGCTCCGTCTGTTTCCAGCACGCACGACAGGCGGTTTGGTGCAGGAGCCGACGTGGTTTCCAAGAGGACAAAAGATTTCTCCGTGTTCTGTTATCTTTCTTCAATTTTGAGGGACATACATTTCGACTTTGGGGGCAACAATCACTTTTCCTCATCTGAAACATATAAGGCCCTGTTCGTTTCTCTTATAATCCGTCTTTTTTAGCTTGTTTTTTCAGCTAAAATAGTGTTTTTCTTTCACAACAAATCAGTCGGAACAATATTTCGCCTTGTTTTTTCAGCGAAACGAACGGACCTAAGTCTCTTATTGCCCATGTTGATGTTTATGTTTCCTTCCAAATGACTATTGGCTACTCCTAAAAGATGGACTAAGCACAGGAAATCTTCTACAAAGGAAAAAGACTGCAGTTGGCCTCTTTAATTTGATTCGGCCTGTTCGCTTGTTGGTTTCAGTCAGCCCAAACCAGCCAGCCAACAGTGTTTTTCTCTCGCAACAAATCAGCACCAGCCAGCCCAAACCAGCCCAGAAATCAACCAGCGAACAGGCCGAATATGTTCTTTACTACGATGACACGGAGAAAAACACTGAACTTCTCAGTGATTAGATCCATTCCTTTGTTTAGAATATATTTCTATATCCCTAACAGCAAATGATATGAATAGTCTTGCACCTATGAAAAGATTTAAACGCTAAAGTTACCCTTAGAACCTCCTTGCTCCTCTTACTTATTTTTTACCAAATGCCAAGAACAAATAAACAATAATATTCTCGACCGCTCATTCTCTCTCCATCCATTATCCATGTGAAAAAAGTTAGGATATCACATATTTTACTATACACTGAGCCCACCAACTAACAAAATTTTATACATTGTAGCTCGTTTAACCCGTGACATAAGCTCCGTTCACTTCGCTGAAAAAACAAGTCGAAACACTGTTCCGGCTGATTTGTTGTGAGAGAAAAACATTGTTTCGGCTGAAAAAAACAAGCCAAAAAATATGGATTATAAGAGAAACGAACAGGGCCATAACTAGCTATAAACCTTGCTAAGAAATTATACACAGAAATTGTCCTAATGTACTGCACCTTCTTGCATCTCCTCCTTGCATCTTCTTAGGCCGTCCGCATTGTGTGGCCTAAACACCGCTCCCCACACTGCAGCCTACGGTGCCAATTCCCAGTGAAGCCAGGAGAACCTGAGCGGTGCAAGTAGTTGCGTCGGTGCCTGTTCAATAAAATAAGAATTAGCTGGTACTTGCATGCTCAGCTGGATGCATTACTCTTCGCGCTGGTGCTCATCTTGTTCATGCATGGTGCTTCTTTATTCTTACTCAGTGGGTCCTAGAAATGATGATAGTGATGCTCCACCACTATGGCATGCAAAGAGTAGTGCCAGGAATGGAACGTGGGACCCAAAAAATTTTTGGCGTCACTGCAAGGAGGGCTTTAGCCACCACGTCGGAGCTTGTCTCACAGCAGCCCCAACGCAGGCCAACACCGGTAGTTTCCGCAAAAAGCAGCTGCTATGTAGGCTTTGGGCAGCTAAAACCGCTATTCCCTGTTCTTCCGACACACATGCACAGGTTCAGTGCTACCTCACCTGAGAAAGCTGAACCGCTACAGGACTACACGAATCTTCTTCTCTCACGCTCTCTCCTCAAACCTCTAGCGTTTTAGACCAAGGCATAGATGCCTCGGTAGGCCACTCTGACCCACTGCGAAACCACCATCCGGCGCTCTCTCTCCTCTACGTGGAAGTCCAAACCTACGTGGCCCTGCGGGCCTAACATCCTCGTCACTGCGTTGGGCATGCCCTTAGCATCCGCAGCGTGGCGATCGAACCGAACTGACACGATTCTGACACATGTGAACAAAGTTTGCATGCTTCAGTGTTGCATCCGATTTCTACTTCAAGAAAATAATAAACAACTCTGAATTACTGCTTTAGATGGAGCTCCATGCCTAGTGCACAGGCTCAAGCGGGCATGTAATATTTTATTGTCCATGATTCGACCTTTGTAGAGTCGATTTTGCTTCGGACAACTAGATGTTGAATGCTCCAATGTGCAAACTTCGGTTTTCTGGACATGCTCTTAGGTTTCTAGTGGTGCTACGACAAGCTCCGGCGCCAAGGGCAACAAAATGGACTTAGCTCATTATCCCTCCGTCTTTAAATAACTGTTCATTTTGATTTCAGTCGTAAGTTTGATCGGATTTATAAAAAATACGTGCAACGTTTATATCTTTAAATAAATTTATTATGAAAATAGATTTAACAATCTATTTAATGATATTAATTTCATACCATAAACATTAATATTTTTTATATATATTTAGTCAAAGTTGTTTCTCGAAAAATAAAACGACAGTTATTTAGAGACGGAGAGAGTATGCATATGCCCCGACAAAATAAACCATGTTCTTAGTGAGGTCACACTAGCGTAAGGTACTTAAGTGCAGAAATGAAAACCTAACTACTAGATCACACTAGATAAATTCAATCCAAGCTGTCACACATGAACCCCAAGCTTTCAAGCACACAATAGTGTCAGGTTGTTGCTGTAATCCACTAATTCACATTGGAGCACCTAGTAAGGCCTTATTTGGTTGTATTCGGATTTACATGAATCCACGTGTGTGGAGGTAGGTTAAAGTGAAACCTGAACTAAATTTAACCATAATCCACCCAACTCATGTTGTTGACACTTAAATTGGGCCTAGGATAATTTTAAGAGGCCCATAATTAGTTTTAGCCCGATCTAAGAAAAACTCTATAAAGCGACATAATAATAATACCACATTGGTTTTTCAACAGGATAAGACCACATATACTCTTTATAAAATAAAGGGTACATGACTGATTGAGGTATCTAATAATTTAATCATCTTTTTACATATACAACTCTTTTATGTCCTCTTTCAACCATATTGTTGTTCATCACTTGATCCAACGACCAACGATGACGCCCTAGACTTGTTGACCGACCTAGGACAACCCAACGACGTCCTTGCCCCCATGGGGTCCCTCCTAGACGAGAGTTTTGACGATTCCTTTGCTAGTTTGCTAAAAAAACTAGCTGTTCTTCGTCACGCAAGCCCGATTAGTTACTCTTTGTTAGTTTGCCCAAAAACTAACCGTTCTTCACGACGTAAGCGCGATACATATCCTTTGGTTTGCTCGTAAACCTCTCCATTCTTCACTGTAAGTGTGATTTTCGTTGCGTTCTTCAGTTCGTGGCAACCCAGACGATCTAGCCCTAGTTGGTGTGTGATCGATCTTCGGGTCAAAACATGTGTTTTGAGATGAATCCAACATCTAAACAAGGCCTAAAAGTTAGGAGTACCCATTGTCCACTCTAGATTGGTGAGTCTCTGTCGATGTTTCACCACCGATAGCCTGCCATGGGGGTACCCGGGGCAGTATGTTCGGGCTTCGGCGTATGCTGAACTCGATGGTAAACGCAAGAGACAGTCGATTTATCCTGGTTCAGGCCCTCGATCGTAGATCGAGTAATGACCCTACGTCCAGTCGGCGTTGGCCTTTGCATTGGATTGATTATGAAGTGTTATGTTGTACAATTGTCGTCCTCTCTCAGGAGCCCTGTCCTCCTTTATATAGTCAGGAGGTCAGAGTCCTAGTCGGTTTACAATGAGATTTCCTAGTAGGATTACTTAATAGTTATATTACTAAGATTACATGGGAAGAATCCTGTGGGTCCCGCATCGATAAGCCCCCGAGCACTTCATGGTTGAGCTCTGAAAGTCTCGCTTTGCTCCTTCAAGTCTTGTTAGGTAGGAACAAAATGTTATCCGAGTGCTTTCTGGAGTGAAACCTTGTAGCGCTTCTTGGGACCTTCGAGTGGTGAGTGTTTTGTGAAGAAAAAGTACATCCATCTGGTTGTAGCCCCCGAGCCTCTTGCTATTTGGAACAAGGAGCTGGAGGATCTTGTCTTGAAGTTGCTCTGATTTTTCATTGAAGTTTTGTCAAAAAGAACTCGAATATGGCTCGTTCCGGGTTCTTTTTGTCGTAATGTCTTGAAGTGGTCTGCGTTGAGGAAGTCTTTTGGTGACGTGCGCTTTTTCGAAGAAAAAGTGCACTCACTGAGTGTAGCCCCCGAGCCTCTTGCTATTTGGAACAAAAAGTTGGAGGGTCTTGATCCTTTATGTTGTTTGAAAATTTGTGTTCGAAGTAGTCACCGAGACTTGAATTATGTCATCATCCGAGTAGTTTTGTGGCATCTTTCAAGCGGCCCTTTAGTCTTGGATTAAACCATCATCCGAGTAGTTTTTGGCATGCGACCTCCGAGCCTATGTCAAGGGTTCTTTTGGGTGAATTCTTGTCTTCAAAA